GGTTGCTGGTTGCTTTCCTGTTCTTGTCCTTCATACCATACGTTAAATTCCCATTGATAGCTTCTGTGGAATGGTGGTAATTGAAGTGTTCTGGGTATTTCGTATTCAAGATGCATCCTACACATGCGTCTTCCAGTTAATGTTCCCGTCCTATCTTTTTCTCTGGAAATAGAGTCAATATGTCCAAATCCTTTTAATAGATGTGCGAGATATTGATTTGGAACTCGGTTTGGAATGAGAGACACCCAAACTTCAATACTGTCATCTTGGACGTCTCTCACATCAGCACAATGTTGTGTTTTGCCATCATATGTGTACCATAATCCATTGTTTATAATTTTTTGAACATGTTGTTGATTTTTCAATTCAGCCAGCCATTTTTTTTCTTTTCGCATCAGAAAAAGTTCAATAACACTTCCCTTCCCACATTGTTCTTCTATTAACATTATGACTTCTTGCCTGGATATCCAGGAAGCTTTGTCAAATTTCAAAAAGATGCTATTCAATGGTTCTTGCTCATCTAACATCAATTGGTTCCATGATTGGTTACGTGTGCTAGTATCTGTATGATTAGTTGAATCGGATAATTCACTTCTATTTTCTTCAGTATTAGGTTTTGCTTGTATATTACAAGTTTCTCCTCCACTTTGGGCGGCCATTTCGCCGCTTATATTGTATTGCCGCTTAATCAAATAGCGAATCCCAAATCTGTATCAAATCCATGTATGAAAACCATCGGTCGAAAAACGTGCAGGTTACCGCATCGAATTACTCGGCATGGGCTCGCAGGTTCGAATCCCATGCGGGATAGTTATGTGCGAGAGGATTGCTGGACTCCTCGCCGTCGTAGGGTGACCGTCGTAGGGTGGTTCACGTAACCGCAGGCCGGTTACGGCTTCCTCTACCATCAAGTCCATGCTTCCGAAACAAATAACTAACTAATCCCATACCCGACATGGACTGGTACGGTAACCGGACGAGAGGCCGTGGTTCGCCATATGAATAAGCCTTCTTATCGGCTTTCCTCTCCCCCCGAGATAAATATATAAATCCTGCTTCTTCCCATCCACACGCTTTGGTCCAAACCCAGGTTCGCGGGCCACATGTGGCCCAGCGCTCCATTATCTGTGGCCCGCGTCGCATTTGCGCCAACGTAGATAGAAAATCGTATTTGGTGTTGTTTCGTCATAAAAATAACCGAAAAAATCTTTTGACATATTGTTACATCACTAATTTAACTGAATTGACTAGTGTTATGGCTAGTGAAGTTGAATAATAATGTGCTTGGCTAGTCTAAATTGTCAACTGGCTTTCTTTTTTTTTTGGTCGGGAATATCTGCTAACAAAATAGGCTTCATAGAAAACTAAAAATCAAATGAGTTGGTTATGTATGATAACTGAATATTATTGTAATGGCCTAACAATATAATTTCTGCGGGTGTTTTTTTTGCAACTAGTCTTAACAGTAATACAAAAAATGCTGCTTATATATCAGAAAATTTAGTAATTACCCTTCTGTATCTCAAATTAGGTAAAATTCGGTAATCAGTCAATTTGCAGTTATTTGTAGGTTATTTTGTAAATATGAGTTTGAAAAGGAAGCTGATCAATTTAAAGAGATATTTGACCTAATATAGGAAGGAAAATACCACACTATTTGCTTAATATGTCTTCAAATTGTGTCGGTAACAATCTAAAACGGCATTTTCTCATTATGTCACTTTATCCGTTATGAAGAGTAACAAACGTGAAAAGTGACAAACTTTATGTATTCCACTTTGATAAAAATTAATAATATCGCGTTCCTCTTGTGCGGAGAGGACATGCTATTAATCTTTGAAAATTCAACACTTTATCGGTATACGTAATTTTGATAAATAGGAGCATCCTCGACAGGGAAAGACCCCAATCTTCAAGTTCGAGTATTTTTATAGGCTCAAAGTGTGCGACAAACTTTATGTATTCCACTTCGATATAGAATAATAAAATAGGACATGTTATTAATCTTTAAAATTTAACCCTTTATAGGTATACGTAATTTTGATAAATACGGTCATCTTCGACAGGGAAAGGCGCAATTTTTAAGTTAGTAATTTAAGGTTCAAGGTGTGTGACAAACTTCATTTATTCTACTTTGATATATAATAATAAAACCGCGTGCCTCGTGCGCGGAGGCCATGCTATTAATCTTTGAGAATTGCAATATTTAACACTTTATCGGCATGGGTAATTTTGATAAATAGGGGTATCTTCAAACAGGGAAAGATCCCAATTTCTAAGTTCGAGTAGCTCTATAGGTTCTAAGTGTGTGACAACTTTATATATTCCGATTTGACATAAAATCGCGTACCTCCTGTGCGGATACCGGTTTTATGTCATATTACCATTTTCAATGAGTTGCATTTACTTTTAAAAATCAGTTGAATAAAACAAATCAGCCGGTTTCCGCGTTCATTATTTTGTTTCAGTTAGTATTGTATTATCTACCACTAGAGATTCTTGTATCGATACCCAACACCACTAAAATTTATGAGAATGTGATAGATACTTAGTTTATACGCGTAGAACGGCGACGCTACATTTTGTGAACTGGTAAAACTGTCGTCGATTGTGTCGTGCAGTCCTATTCCCTAACTAAAGTGGAGCCCCAGTTTGAAAGCCCTTTCTAGACATTGACAGGGAGAAAAAAAGAGAAGGGATATGGATAAATATCAAAACCTTATATCGACATAAAAACTATTCTTTGACGGCCTTGCATTTCTAAATCTGGACAAAATGTAAGGAGATCCAAGTTTGATAACAAAATGCAGACAAAGTTACGCAAATGTATTTATTAAAAAAAGTAAAATATGCCATCAAAAGCATTTTTGCTTGCAGTGAGTGTCCAAGTGAAAAATGAATACAGAAACGGGAAAGCAGTGACGGAAACATAAATACAAAGACTGAAAAATAAAACTGCTGAAGATCAAAAAAATCTTGGATCTTCTAAACTTCCAAATTTGCAGAAAATGAGATATTCTAGACAAGATCTTCTCACGAACTCGACAATAATTGAGCATCATTCACAGGAACAAATCGTCTGCACAAAACTTTGGTTTAGGTCGGAAGGAATCATCCAGTTTCTTGACAATATTCTGGTGCAGAATGATCTTCACAAACACCTTCCATCAATTCGTTAAGGTTACACTTAAACTAAGCAAGTAGTCCTACAATACACCAAGTACTGCATAAAACAAAACAATATTAATTGGCATCTGCGAAGCCCATGAAGGAGCCGAGATGCGAAAATAACAGTTCATGTTTGTTGTAGAACGGAACCTACTGCAGTATTAAACAGTACTTACTGCAAGTTGAGAGAACGGGTACTGCAGAATATGAATCGAAGATATAGCTGAAAAAAAATAAGTGGCAAAGATGTGTAGAAAAGATTAATGTTGTTATGAAAGTTTTTTTTTATATTCTGCTCTATCGAAATGGAAGAAAAGTTTGATTAGGACAAATACAGGCAACCACCCTGCTGTATTCTAAGGGCGCCACTTCCGAATACCCTACATTTCTATTCTATTCTGATGCAAAATATACTGTATATATACAAAAATGTAAAATATTGAGATGCTTAATATAGTAACAAAGATAACCAACCACTCTCACCTTTTTATTGCAAGAAATTAACTTAAGGAGTTTTGGGCAGAAGACATCCTGCATCCATCTGTAACCATGATGAACATCGAATCTTTTCCGGAATAAAATCTTCAGGTTTCGCGTATGTTTTCAGAGTGGTGAGATACTGCAGTAACAGAGAAAACGTATATTAAAACGAATAAATCGTAACAACATTGTGTAGAATGGAAAGGAAAATAGAAAGGAGATTAACGAATCAAAAATCCACAATGTCAGTTCTTCTTGCGGTTTCAATACAAGACATCTTGAGTAATTTCCGAAGCAATCAAAACACCTCCAACAGGCAATGCAAGAGTGATTTCAAATATCTGAAGTTACTATAAACTTTATCTGCCTCTCTTAACACAATACTCTATCCTGTTGTTCCTAAACTGTTCTGATGAAGAGACTAAATACAAGTCGATATAAATATTTAACCTGAAATTTTAGATTGGATGTTTCTAAATATGCATGTTAATATTCGATAATAGGAAGAAAAAAATCCAGGAGCCCTAAGTCTGCTGAAACTATACTGAAATCAAATGAATATGAGTTTCTTATTACTTTAAAATGGGCATTCCTAAAATAGTGTGAGAAAGAATTTTAAAAGAAAATTTCTTTATTTTTCTTCAGAATGCAAAATAATAGGAATGTCCATAGAATTCAGACACGACGAAGCCCGGGTTTCAGGGCTATAACATGCAGAAAACGCAATTTACTGTTTAAAATATTGTGAATAAATTGTACAAATTCAAAAACTTGAAGATTCCAGACTTCAAAGTCAAAAATAAAAGAATGACGAAATTCAAGCAAAGGACTAAATTAACAGTTTAAATGATTTGGTTTCTGCAGACTAACTACTTAATTTTCATGCTATTGTGTCGGTGATACATATGCACTTCATGCAAGGATGCTGTAGTAAGAGTGGAGATAACTATCCTAGTGATTCAAAAGTCTTGATGCACACTAACACAAATATATTTCTATAACATTTCGTCTGACATTGAACTTGAAACAATGATGACAGGCTTTCAAATCAAACTGAAATGCTAGTCTTTCAACCAGCAAGATTATTAAAACTTCTGGTGTATCACTAGCAAAACAAAGCAGTTTTACAATCCAACATCCTGACTCTTGATTCATTGAAATAAAAAATTGCATCTGATTTCAGTACTAGTTTAAGAGAATGAACATTTAACTGTGGCAAATACAAGACACATTCAAAAATCTCATTCTATTCAAGCTGGAAATTTTCTACCTGCATCTTAAGGACATCTGAAATTAAAACTCCCATAATAGCTAGTTAATTCATCATAATCTGAAAGTATGAAAATATGACCCACAAGAACTTTAAAATGAATGCAATCAAAATAAATCGATTTTACGTACATTTGCAAGAAGCCACATGGTCCCAATTTTTGTATGAAATTATCACTTTACAAATATAACAACTTTCTAATTGCACTCACCTGTTGCCCAGGAAACAAAGTTTAAAACATTTTACCAGTTAAGAAAAATTTATATTTACATCAGTCCACAGCTCACGAGAATACGGTACTGCATCCACAGACCGCCGGGACAGATGTATTGCCTAAAATAGGGATTATTTTCAATAAACATAATTGTCACTTTGTCAATTTCACAAAATCAAAACTTGATACCCGTACCTTTGATATTCTTCCACGAGAGAAAAGTGACGAGACTGATCTAGTGAATTTTGTGAAAAAAAATAAAAAATTATTAAGTTCCTCATGAAACTTTTATAAATCAATTACAAAAAGGATTTAAACATTTAACATCTAATTACTTAGCTTTACATACAACTCGTAAGAAAACATGTTGATTACATAAAACTTGAATAGAAATATATCAAATATCATTCAAAAAAGATTATTCAAGATTTACTACATTTTCCATATCATCATGTTTTGACACAATGTAGTTGAAGTTATCCTCCATAATATGGAAACGATTGTTGAGTCATCTCCAAAACTGAGAAAATGTCGGCAAGCCCTGGAATATAAAAAATTCCATAAAATTTGGAATATCTGAGTTAATGTTCCCGAAACCTTGATCTAAAATGCTGATGAAAGTACAGTCAAATTGAAAAACCAAACAAATATTATTTTTCCATTACAAGATAATTTACAAAGACTGTGTATATCAAATACTAATTCTAAATGCCTATGAAGAACGCTAAAGCTAAAATGTTTCTACAATAACATTTCTAAATTTGGTATACCCTAATGGTCCCTTGTTTGATTGGAAAATTGTTGTTAAAGAATTCCTTTTACTTGAATATAAATTCAAAAATTCACCAAATCAAATACAAATATTTATAAACTTATTTAAATAGTCGTTGCATACTAGTTGGCGCTCCCGAAGTATGTGAACCAAAATGGCAGACACCGGAACGTAGTACGTGTACTAGGTTAGGTTAGGTCATATTTTTATTCCAATTTTCCTTATTTTGGTTCTACTACGAGTTCAGGGACTAGGCAAGTGACTCCTATACTATGTACCTGAAATTATGGCCTAGCCCCAAACCTGGTACACATACTACGCTCAAGTGTTTGCCATTTTGAATCACATACTTCAGGAGTACCTACTAGTTTACCTTTTCAACAAATCACCATTATCCACTTACCTCAATAACAGTGGGAACATTATACGGCATCAGATCAGTAAGAAAATTATAAGCAGTTGATATGTGTTGCCTTGTAATCAGTAATCAGTAGTTTATTTTCTCACCATACTAAATGCACACTTGATATACAAATTGCAATAAATAAATAAAAGGCATTTCAGGGTGAGGGGAGCCGCGAGAAACCAAATTTGGTTATCGAGCAGCGGCACCCATAAGCAAGTCTAACAAGGAAATAATAACAAAAAAAAGTCGAACTGTGTATATATAGTATCATATATACGTTAATTTGAAAATAAATATAAATACGTCAAGGCATTCCAACCAGGTATGCCCAGTAATCTCGCGTTTCAACAACAACAAAACAAGAAACGACTCCGTGCACCAATTATCTAAGTAGCCATGACGATAGCTGCTTTGAGGTAAAGTCACAATGGTACCATTGTGAGGTGACTGTGGTCGTATGTAGAACATTGTATGGTGCAGGGCTACAGTTGTTACTTATCGATCTTAAGATCGGTAAGTATATTGATAGGTATTTGTCTGTATGTCTGTTAGATGCACGCGATATCTCACGAAAGCGAGGTTGAATCTGCTCCAAATTTTGCATGTGCATTCATCTTATCTCGGACCAGAAACCTATTGATTTTGGGCGAATTATGTCGTATAATTAGAGAGTTATCAATCAATTATTGATATAGTGATCTAGATTTTTGTAAAGCGAGAGAATTTTGAAACCCGCCGAGTGTGTGTGTGCGATGCGCAGTGCGCAAGTTACAAGAGCGGATGAATCGAAACTGCAGTTTCTGTTTTGGATCGATAAGTCTTCGGTTTCCAACCGATATTCTCGTTTAGGTATCAATGGTAAAAATGAAGTTTCACGAACAGGAAGCCTACCAGTAGTATGGTATGCATGCAACGGTAGTACCGGTAGTCATAAATAATTTAACCTTTTATGGTAAGAAAATTGAACTTCAGTGTGTAACTAGAAGGCACATGATCAATGAATAAATGGTATTCTACAAGATCAAGGTAGGATTAAATATCATGTGGAACTAACCACTTCATACAGAACATGGAAAAAGCAAAGGTAGGTAGATTGATAAAAATCTAATGTCAGTCAGTTTATGACATAACGATGCCAAATGTACAAAAATAAAAAAAATAAAAACAATCGAATATGGTTTAACATTAAAATGATGTTATTAAGGGTGCCAGAGACCAAGATCTTAGTAACTTAGATCAGGCTCAAATATTACCAATATATAACTGACTATATTACATGACATCACAGTGCATGAACTATGCATGGTTTCTTCTTACATGATATCCTCTCATTCACACAGTGGGTCAATCAGAGATGAATCAAATATGTAAAAATAAACAATTCATAGTAGTAAATAGGTAATAAAGAGGTCATGGTGAGAAAAGACAATATGAGCTTTGCATTGGAAACATGACTGATTGTAAATGCATATAGCAGGACAATTGTCATTTAATAAGAGAATGATACCTAAAATTTTTGATTTAGGTCAATATTTTAGCAAAAGCTCGCCCTTTGATATATTGGGTGAAATTAAAAATACAGTAAATACTTTTTGTATGGCTGGGTCCATGTAACATACTTAGGTAAAAATATTTGTTTGATTACACGATAAATTCCAAAATTATATATTTCAGGTACTCTGGATCACTGGATCAAGTCGACAGTGGAGCTGGCAATGGCGAAGAAAGTTCTGGATCCACTTTAATCTGATGAAAAGGCAGCAGAATGGTAAAGGGAAAGCATGAATTTTTTGTATTTAAATTTAAAGGTGTCATAAGATGAATGACGAAGGCTTTGACCTATGCTATTCCAAATTACAACTCCCCTGTATTTCAAGGAGTTTTGGCATTTGCTTGATGAAAATCGAGGGACAAATAAATTGGATTTGGTCGAAGAGCGTGTATTATGCTCATGCACGTTACTAAGCATGACGAAATAGTCAGCAAAAGCTGGGGGCAATTGGTTGTTGTTAAATTGGTGCATAAGTTTAGAAATCTCTAGTTTATAGATGTCGGACAATTTTAGAACCCTGGTCTTGTGGTATAGGATATTCAGGTTAGAACGAATAGATGCCCTACAGAGAATTCTAACAGCCCTATTTTGTAAAATCTCTAATTTATTCAAGTTTGTTTTGGTAGCGGAACCCCATGCAGCTAAGGCATATTGGATATGACATTGAAAAAGAGCCAAATATACTGTTCGCAGAGTCGAGTCGTTTACATCAGCGGTTCCCAACCTTTCTACCCTGGCGGACCGGTAAAATTAGATTAAATGTACTCGCGGACCGGCAAAAATTGAAATGGCCGTAACAGAAAAGAATAACATATATTTGCGTCTTATAATGCAATGTCGGGCACTCAATATGCTTCTAGACAAAAAAGCACACTTTAAAACATTTCACACGAAGAATAACTATCAAATAATGTGTCGACCAAAAATTAAAAATGAGTGAAACATAAAATAATACCATATATTTGCGTAATGAAATGCAGTGCTGGGCACCCATTATGCGTGAGAAAGGCACGCATTAAATTCTCACATTAAAATAATGCACAATTAACTTCTGTGAGAATTTTGCTGCTGTTTCGTTTCCAATACAAGATTGCGAACGAGGCAAAGAAGTTTTTTGCAACACATAGCTCTGCAGCCGCGTGCAGCCGATTTCCTTGCCTCGTTTTAATCAAAGTGAGGTTTTAATTGAATCGAGTGATGAGAATGTTTTTTCGCATAACGCAGTAACTGGCTGAAAAGACGGACCACAGTTTGATTGCTCGATTACTTGGCGATGGGTATTCGTTATCAAGAGATATCTAAAATTGTGATAAGTAATTCTTTTTCAATCTGGACTGTAAAAAAGAATCACAATTTTAATCAAGCCCTTTCTTTTTCATTGGGTTCATAATATTAATCCCTCTGCAGTTAATCGACGCCTCAAACGGAATGAATTTGCATTACAATGACAAAGTCGTCGATAACTTGGCGACAAGCTCAAAATCCTACTGTGTCTGGAAAAGATCTCTGCGGCTCGTGCTTTTTTTTGCGTGTATCGCGTGACCACCTGTGGGGTCGCAACAAGTTCATATCTTACTGGATTATTATACTGTTCTTGACTGTTTTCTAGTTTAAACAAGGAGATATCCATTACGTTTCATATGAATGGTCATATTAATCAGAAAAAGCACGCAGAACAGTAAAGGCACGCGTGCCGATTTTTTAGGCTTCTTAATTTTGCGAGATTTGATGGAGCGCATTCGCGATGAATCGGAGCTGGAAAAGCGAAAAGTGTGAGTGATCGGCGCCAAGATGTCGCGTAATACGGCGCCAACATGTCGCGAAAGACGTCGTAATATGACGGCAGAAGAGAACTGCGTAATGAGCCAACGCAACTTTGCCTACGGTAAAGCGATTGAAACGGCATAAAAACAACAAAACAACAAAACTTCTTGCGGACCGGCAAAAAAGCTTCGCGGACCGGCACCGGTCCGCGGACCGGCGGTTGGGAACCACTGGTTTACATAATGCCTTAACTTCCCTAGGATCCCGACTGATCTTGACAATTTCTTAGGCAATTCATTGGTATGAAAGTTCCATTTTAATTGATAGTCAATAGTTTATTTTCTCGACGTGATGCAAGTCGAAGTGGGGCATGTTTGTTGATTAAACATTTCAATTGGCCAAGGAAAGAATCGAAAGATAAATTAAAATTTTCTATACAGAGAGCGGTATCAATGTAGTTGTTCCAGAAAATGAGGGTATATTACATTTGGGGTGTTTGTAAATGACACCAACTACAAATCTCTGGTTGTTCGAGTTAAGTTTGATCTCTATTCTCTACCCACAAGTCCTCACAATTTGGAAATCCTAAATCAAATTCTTGGATCACCTGGTAATCTAAGTTGCTTTTAAGATAAAAACCTACCCCACCAGCTTGGGTAGGAGTAGGAACATACCGGTACATAAAGTTATATCCTGGGATGTCGACATTTTCGGCCATTCCCCCAGCTTTAATTCTTGTCTCGCTTAGCGCAATAATATGTGGGAGATAGTGAAAATTTGATGTCAATTCGACATAAATTTCTGCTTTGCGGATAATTTATCGAACATATCCGACTGAAAATTCTGGGTTTCCTTGATAAAGGCAATGTCCTCTTTTATTTCCTTTAAAGATTGGATTTGGTCTTCCATACATTCTTTAAGGCCTGGGCTTAGGGGTATGTATTCCGAAGTAAGATTTGCTGTAGGCCTATTGAAGTTCTCAGCAAGGTATTTGGTGATTAGAGATGGTAGTTGGCTTTCTATTTGTCTCTGGATTGCTTCCTGTAGATTTTGTTGAAAATTAGGTCCCTCTTGTTGATATGAAACAGGACCTATTGGGGAGAGGCCAGGGTCTGGTAGGCTTCTGCTTAGACGAGGTTTCGGCTTCGGCTTTTCGATGTAGTTGAAAGCAGCCATGTCAGTTTTGGAGTTCGACATATCGCTGATGTAGATTGTAAATCGTCCGTGATGTTTACTATTTGAGTTAGACTATAAGCTATTTTAAGATTTTAATCAAAACAGCAAAAATGATAAATCTGTATTATTGAAAAATAACTGTCTAACAAAATATGGGAGTTAAGTTCTAATACCTGTAAAAACAGAATATAAAAAACAAGAAGAATATAAAGAAATAAGAATACTTTCAAGCATTACCAAATTCGATCTCTATAATATGCATTAATTAGGGCAGGGGTCGGAAACCTTTTTGGTCAAGAGAGCCATAAAAGGTACATATTTTCAGCTGCATATCTGTGCAAGCCATATAGCATTTCTTCACTTAATCAGGCTTGAAATTTTTGTTAAAAGTCAACACATACAATGTCAATATACATTTAATGTGCTTCATGTTGTCGCTGCGGGTCTTGGAGGGCTGCTCACATGCAGCACAAGTTGAAATCTACTATACTCATCAGTGTCATCACCCTTTATTTCGTTTAGGTATCTCCTTAGTATTTCAAAAACTAGCTTTGCCAGTCCCAATTTAAATATGACAAACACCATAACTAATACGTACAAACGGACTAAAAAGCTTTATGCTATTCCAGAGATCTCTAGTTTTGCCACAATGCCTGTCTGGTAATTCTCTTAGACAACATAGACATGCGCTGGGCGCGTTCTCAAACGTATGGCAGATTTTCTTCCAAATTTGGCTATAAAAAGTGTGAAATCTAGTAACATTAGTAAGCTTAGCCTTAGAATACTAGATTTTTCTGGGAGCCATATGCCAGTATGCCGCCACCAAAAGAGCCGTGGACTATTTTTTAAGGGAGCGTGAAGCTAATTGAAAATAGTATTTGTTACATTTGATCTTGTCCACCTTATTTTTTATATTTACATTCCATCCATGTATTGTCAACATGTTTTTGAATGAAACATACTTTCGCCTAACTAGGCTATCCATTATTTGTAGATCATTGTTAACTACCGTAGTTATTTTTGAGATGGTGCACTTGACAAATTCTAAAAAGGGGGCGTTTCTCAAAAAGTTTGAGAACCACTGTCCTAGACTGAATATTCAGAAACAGAAAACTTGCAAAGCAATATCTCACCAGCATTCTTCATGTCGAAAGCTTCAATTAAATCATCTCTGATTGGATGTTGAGCTTTATAGCAAAGTCTTTGTAGGTTTGAAAAAGTGTCATCTCCTGATAAAGTCGTTAAATCAATACATGTTGTTGCTCTCAATAACCAGGCCGCCTGTTGGAAAATAATATTTTGTGCCTGATATCTGGATATATGATTGTGTTTGAACAAATGTCCAAAACTTTGTTTTGTGCAATCATTTTTGTGAAATATCAAATTTTATAAAAGTGGATACCGTACCGGTATTGATTTTAAAAGATAATTTTATTATGGCTTGAAAAGTTTGAATTACAATCAAACCCACCTGCCATGCTTTTTTTACAGTTCTTTTGTTTGGAAAAGTTTCTGCTCTTCTATTTACAGCTGGAAGATTTACCGGTACTATAGTTCGTTGAACCCAAATAAATCTGTAATAGGACAAAGTTACAACGATTCGCCATATACGGTAATACTGTAATAACATAAGAAGAGCACAATAAATGCATGCATACCGGCAAAGGTAGAGTGATTTAGTAAACTAAAGTACCGGTACCGGGTCTCGTGTAGTTTCGTACCTAACGTACTTCTAGTAGGCGTAGCATAACAATCTTTTGACATGCCAATGCTAACCCTCACCTGACTACACCATCCAAAAATTACGTCACTAGCGGCGCACTACGTCACCTGACTACGCCATCCAAAAATTACGTCACTAGCGGCTACTAGCGGCGCGGCGGTGTGGCTCAACGGGCTAAGCGTTAGGAATACGCTCGCCACCGCACCTCTATTTACTCTGCGTGGGTTCGCAGGTTCGAATCCCATGCGGGGATGGTTATGTGCGAGAGGATTGCTGGACTCCTCGCCGTCGTTGGGTGGTTCACGTAACCGCTGGTCGGTTACGGCTTCCTCCACCACCAAGTCCATGCTTCCGAAAACAAACAATACAGTAAAACTAATCCCATACCGTACCCGACTTGGAATGGTAACCGGACGAGAGGCCGTGGTTCGCCATATGGATAAGCCGTCTTATCGGCTTTCCTCTCCCCCGGGATAAATATGTAAATCCTATCCTATCCGCTACGACGTCACAATCACGTCATAGAGGTTGCCAAATACTCGTACGATCGCCCGAAATGGCATCGGCGCCGACGATAAAGAACTGACTAACGTCAGCGATCTCTCTCGGGGATCGGGATCGTTGCGACTAGAAAACGAGAGAAATGGCTGTTCGATTTCGGCGCGTCTTGGATGACAGTTCGCATAGTTTGAAGGACTCAATTACGTCACTGTGACGTAATTTTTGGAAGGTGTGGTCAGGTGGGGGTTAGGATTGACACTTGAAAAAAATGTTATGCTACGCCTACTAGAAGTACGTTAGGTAGGAAAGTACATCAGACCCCCGGTACCGTATCTTATCTAAGTTAGTTGACAGGTAGGGGTGCCGGTACGGTACCGTACCGCATGGTACCGGCTGACTGGTAACTCAGTAACTGGTTATTCAGTTGGAATAACCATACCGATACCGGGTACCAGTTATCTGCACATGCAGACATACCGTACCGGTACCGGCACGTCATGGAGCTTGCCAAATACAACACCGTGCAACTAACTTGTCTCATTATGGCGTCATATTGACGCCATTTTCGATCATTCGGCTCGAGTAGTGTAACGCAAACAAGCCTAATTTTAGTAGTTTTAAAAGGCTATTGGGGCAGATTTAAATCAGTAGTTATATTCCGAGGGCGCAGAAATCCGATAGGATGTCTCAATCAGTATCGAACCCAATATGGGGCACTTATATTAAAAACCCACGCCGCTCGGTAACAAACATAATATAGACGCAACGCACGGTTAATAAGGTAAAGTTTGTTTCGATATTCCGTAACACTGAAACAAATATATAGGCAATGCAAGTCAACACACACACATATACGGTAGCCTACGGAAAATCGGGAAAGTAGGCAAAATCTTAAACTATTCAAGTCCTGCTGTCTTGACCGTCCCGGGAATGGCAGGGACAGTCCCGGATTTAACGTCTGGCGTCCCGGTGGTCCGGAATTTACTGACAACCAAAAAATGATGATGATGAATTGATGCTGCATAACTGAATTGTAAACGTCGTTACCAAGGCAGTACAATGGGAGAGAGAGATTTTGTCAACCAAAAAATACAGTCATCAATAAAATAGCCCCAGCCACAATTTTGAGAAAAACACAAAAAACAATTTGGAATTTTTTCATTCTTACCTGAGCTCTGGTTATTTTAATGTGAGTGAGAATATCTTTGTAATCAATATTTTTTGGTACTTTTGGCTTCAATTCCTTCCTGCTTTTTACCCCCATAAAGGATTTTGTCCCATTCTGTTCTCAACATCTTCTGGAATTTTTTGTATGGGATAAAAGGTAAAACAAGATGATATAGGCCTAAGTTTCACTGAACAAATTTTAAGGGATGCAAGTTTTGGACATTTCATTTCTCATATTCATGCCCATCATATTGGAACTTAGGACTATCTTTTTTTAATATTTTGGGGGTTTGAGCCATGCTCTACATTCTACAAGATGGTGGTCTTGAAATCCTGAATTTCTCAATAATAAAAATTTTAGCTGGACTTAGGCCCATTCTGTTCTTAACTTCTACAAAATATTATAGTCCCAAGTCCAGCTAAAATTTTTATTATCGAGAAATTCAGAATTTCAAGACCACCAACTTGTAGAGCATGGCTCAAAATATTGTGAAAAGTGAATTTTCCAAAATTGTGACTTAGGCCCCTTCTGTTCTCATCCGGCGACATATGCCAAAGTGATCAATATTAAGTTTAACCCTGAGAGATGACTAGTGGCAAAACTTGAACTATTTCGATAATATTTTTACAATAAATTTGTGAACAAAATGAGGGGATGTGATGGAAAATTATACCTAACTGATACCTGAATTCAATGGGGTTCGGACGATAAATAAATAAATTGGCTATATACACAAAGTGGATCAGGGACAAAAAAATTAATGTGATGAGAATGTGTCTGAGCGTGAAAAATAACATATAAAATAAAGTGTAACCCAGTGGACATACACATTACACAGTAACACACTGGATAGGGCAAGAGGAATTCTATTCATAGGTTTGTCATGATCTGAAAATGTTTAAAAATTGCATGAACTTTATATATATGTTTGGGATTTTTGCAAACTTGCACTCCAAGAATGTTAATACTTATAATGTACTTATCAATAAGTTTTAGCAGGTGGGGTTTTAAAAATGTTTCTGACTCACACAAGAGGATCAATCAATAGGAAAATTTAATAATTCACATCTTGGGAATCGTGTCTACAAAACAAAGCAAGCAATGATCATCATAGGAATAGTGAACATTTTTATTTAAATCTTTGGTGTTACAGTATGATTCATGAAACCATTACAAACAAACTAATAGTCCAGAATTTGGAAATAATTTGATTAACCAATAAAAAGAAATAATACTTATCAAATAACAAAGACATGAGTAAAAGACCATTTAATTGATCAAGAATAGCATGTAAATACCTTAATATGGAAGACATAGAAAAGAAGTGCTATTCGATTGATCAACAATTAAAATTTTAACAATTAAATAACAAAGACATGAAAAAGGTACAATAATTAAAACTTCAGCAGTATGTGCACCAGGTGACGGTTAGGCCCATGTTTTATTCCGACCTTCCTCATCTTAGTTCCATCACGAGCTCTGGACTGCCCATGTCAGCCAAGCGATGGCGACTACATATGAGTGGCTGATTAAAAACGCAAAAAAATAGCACCCCCGTGTTATAATGACAGTGTTATGTTGTTTCATATCGCAAAAACGATTAGAGGAAAATCCCCCCCCCCCAATTTTCCAAAAGCATTCTCACATTTTTATGCTTTGTTATATGACCCAACATTATAAGTTTCTGACACAACTGGTTCGTCCTGGAGTCGGATGTTTCAATCAAACCTAAAACGTTTAAGGAATGATTTACGAGACATTCAAACTGGCAATTAGAGTTTACTTTGGCATTCACAACTCACTGTAGGCCTATTGTTATTTTTTGAAACTTCATCTCAGTCAATATTTTAGTTAATACAGGCCTTGATGATTTGAATTTTTGGTGGATTTGGCACATCGAATGTTGTCATTCCCTTTTATTTTAATTTTTTCCATTGTCATTCCATCTAAATCTAAAGGAACTAGCTAAGTGCATTTCAAGTATTTTGTGGCGTCTGAAGCATAGAAAATATAAAACGTACAAATATAAAAGAAACTTGGGTGAATGAAAATAAACAGAAAATTGAGGGGAAGGAACAGTAGACAATGATAAGGGGCCATCAACAATTATGTATTTTCATGTGATACAACTCTGCACATAGTGCGGGGCAAAGAGCAACACCACAACCCCTGCAAAAATATTTGGTAATTGTTCGTCGAGATTCTAGATCCGAACATTGCACGCAATCATGTATAGCGACATCTAGGCTCAGGTCACATGACCTGTGACGCGCTGCCACGTTTTGGCTTTTTGGAATACCCAATTCGACACTCGCTTCCTGACACTTGATCTTCGCACACTCGACTTCAGGCACTCAACTCGGGGATCTCTCGCGACACGCACCTACTACTACTCCAAGCTTCTGCCTCATTTTCGAGTTAAGTTATTTTACTGTTTGATATCTATTTTATGCTTTTATAACGTCGTTTTTATAATACAACATACAACAAGGAACTTACACGTTTTAATCAGAGACTTGAAAGCAGACAGGAATTAGGAAGCCTTGTCTCGGCACGCGGGGTCTAGGGCAATAGCAAGAACCCTATAGAAAATTGGTGACCCCGACGTGTTAGAATTCAACTTCAAGTCTCAAATTCAGACAAACCTCAACTCCAGGAATCAAGGAAACGGATTCAAGGTTTTTAAAGATTTTAATCCTGAAACAGACTGATTTTATCAATTTTAAGACTTTTATATTAGCTTTTAAAGGACTATTTTATCGACCATTTTATCGCGTGCGTTTTTGGCCATTGTTTTTAGTTACGTTGTCAATATTAGATGCAACGTAATTTTACTCGAAGACAATTTTCATTCGAAAGCACGCAGACTGACTTGATTTTAATTGATAATAATAGCGACAAATTACCAGAACGTGCGATGAATCGGTCTGAGCCACAAATAGATGTAGGTAGCACACCAAATGCCGGCTCGCTCAACGATAATGTTGGTCAGGTCCGTCCACAGTTTATTTATCAACCGCGTCCATCACTTCAAATAAATGAGTTTTGGTCTCATTCTACTGACTCGTGGTTCACGTTGACCGAAGCAGGATTCCGCATGGTAGGGATAAACGATGATCTGGACAAATATTGTTATATTATTCGGTGCCTGAACGACAGCCAATTGGTAACTATACGTTCTCGCCTCCCGGGCGAGCATCATCCCAGTTGCTATCGACTTTTGCGGGAACTTCTGATTAATACTTACTCCGTCCCGCTTAGAGAGCGCATACGAGATATATACAACGGCGGATGCTCAAATTTCAAACCGTCCGAAATTTTAAGAAAGCTACGCAGTTCCGTTTGTCCAAATGACGCTCCAAACACCAACCAGGAATTTTTGAAGGAGATATTCTTTCAGCAACTACCGCCAGATATTGTTTCAGCTCTTTCTGCCCATCCGGATGATTCCATAGATAAATTAGCCTATCGTGCTAAGTGCTGACAGTATATTTTCCAGACGTACGTTACAACCGGCCGATCACATTTCTTTTAAAAATCATGCATCAAACCCTGACTGTAGCGCCAACAACAATAAATATTCTTTCCATGTCGAAGTCAGCTCAATGATGTCGAAGTTAGCTAGTGAACTTGGTAATCTTGGAAGGATCTTGACGTGTTAAAGCATAACCCTACACATTGGTCTTCGGAAGCTGCACCCCCTACTTCCCTTAGCTCTAATGCGTTAACTCAACATCCTGTACGTGTCAGAAACGGAGAGCGCACGAGTCTTGTGCATCCATCGAGAGCCCTTATGCAAAATCATAAATCATCATCTAGTAATGGCAGAGGTTACAACGCCAACGACAGAAACCACCGACCCAATACTCCAACGGCTTGCTGGTATCATCAACATTATGGAAACCTAGCACGTAATTGCGTCCAGCCTTGTACCTTTTCCAGCCGGGGTCCTTTTTTCGCCTAGGGCGCTGTAAAAGATCTTCACAGCGCCATATAAATTCACTTAATAGACTTAATTTCAATTCTCCAAACACAAATCTTCTCTACGTCTTCGATATAAAAAGCGGCCGACAATTTCTGGTTGATACTGTTGCAACAGTTTCCTTAATTCCCCCACATTGGAAACGTCAGAACCATCCTCGATCAGACCGAAAGTAATAATACGGTGGATTGTGTTATGCTTCGCCCTAACAGATGCATGTCGAGGGATTGTCAGATCTTCGAATTCTTTCAACAAATGGGCGTAGTGGTCATGATGTCTCGGTGAGATGAAGTTGGCTGCTATTGATTTGCCAAATGACTTTTGGCATATATATAGGTGTTTGAATTAGGATCGAAGAGACGCGAGTTGCGTAAGTCAACCACAAGATTATGTTGTGACAAAAAATCGGCTCCTATCACAGTTGTACCAAAAAAGGATAGCAATGAGGTCCGAATATGCGTCGACTATAGATCCCTTAACAATCAGACGATAAAAGACAGATGGCCAATTCCTCACATGCGCGATTTTACCAATGAATTACATGGTTGCCACTATTTTAGTAAATGTGACCTTTCGAAAGCATATCATCAAATACCTCTTCACCAATCTGATAGGAAGAAAGCTGCCTTCGTCTGTCCTGAAGGATTGTTTGAACCAGTAACTTTACCATTTGGTCTGTGCAATGCCTGTTCATCATTTTCTCGTTTTCTGTCGGAAGTAACTTCCGGTTTGAAAAATATATTCGTATTCCTCGACGACATATTAATTGCAACCGAAACTGAAGGACAACATCGCCAAGCACTAAGGCATCTATTCTTACGCCTACGAAGATACGGACTTGTCTTGAATGTTGATAAATGTGAGTTCGGCAAGCAAGAGCTTGATTTTTTAGGCCATCACGTAACGTCAAAGGGTATCTATCCACTATCTTCAAAGGTTGAAGCAATCAACAAGTTTCCTTTACCAAATACTTCAAAAGAACTCCGATCTTTTCTTGGTCTAGTATGTAACTATCACCGCTTTGGCAAGAACTGCGCGACCATATTAAAGCCACTGCATGATCTAGCCTCGCAGAGTAAGAATAGGCGACAGTCACTCAAATGGACTCCTGAGACACTGCAGTCTTTCGAA